TTGCTCGTGGGTGACAGAAACTCATTCAAACAAGCTGAAGATGCAGCCCAGGAGTGAGTTTCAGCACTCAGCACTAAATGTCCCCTAGTGAACTGTCTTGAACCACTGCTGCGACCCCCACAGCCTTCAACTGTCCTATTCTTCTCTCTGCTTGTGGCTTCTTCTGCTGTTTTCTGCACACCTGGCAGAGAAGGGTGACCCTGTAATTACTGAGTTCTCAGTTCTAGAAACTAAAGTCACTTGAGTACCTTCTGAATTCCTAGGAGAAAATTGAACCAAGATAGGGTAAGATTTCGCCCCTTCTCAACACAGCCCTTACTAATGGAGCCAGGATCATGCACTTCGGACCTAATTTCTAGGACTCTGCCAGACAGAGATGGGTCTGCAGGGAGGGAAATGACTCTTGGAGATGGTGAGTAGTCACGTGGAATGTCTGAAATTAGAAACAGACTGACCAAGGCTGTCCATCATTCTTTCCTTCCTCCTTCCCTGTCTCCCTGCCTTCCATCTCCCCTTCCTCGAGTAAACATTGATTGAATGCCCTCTATATCCGTGGCACTGTGATCAGAGCCAGGGTTAAAATGAGGAGCAAAACCCACACAGCCCCTGTCCTCATGGAGCTAGAGCTAGTGTGCTGGTGAAATTGAATAAATTCTAATTGAATGCAAAATGATGGTTGGGACATGGGCTGTGAAGGAAAGACAGTTGGTAGGGAGCTCCCTTAAGGGAGTAACAGTGCTTGGGAATTAATTAGGGCTAAGAGCATCTAAGTCAAAGTATGACAGGAGCAGCGTCTTGGTGGCAGTGGAGGGTAAAGTGTAGTCCAGAACCGCAAAGTCCATGGGGCAGCTACATGGAAGTGGGTGAGGTGTGACCACCTTGCTTATACAAGGCAGAGACGCTGCAGCCGGGAGTACGCGCAGGACCTCACACTGGGCAGGGCCTGAATGAAATGGAAGCCAGTAATGGGGGGCTTCAAACAATCAAGTAACATGGTCACATTCACATCTTGTAAAGATTGCTCTGCCTGCCCCATAGGGAGCTCAGGGGTGTGAACCTGGAGGCAGGAAGAGCTCATATCACCGTCGGCCCCCTGGGAAAACCCGTGAAGCAGTGGACAACAGAGCCTAGGGAAGTAGGAACATTACAATAGCCCTGTTCAGAGCGTCAGAGTTAGAAAGTTCAGCCCCATGCTGCATGTCCAGGGGTCTTCAACATCAGTGTTTAGGAAGTAAATTGGTTTGCTATTTTATGCATCCAGTTGAACTGAGCACAAGGATGAAGGGAATGAAGGCTTGGAATCAGCATTCACCTGCATTCTGCCTGACTTCATGCCATGTCCTTTATTCTCTAGCTCCTGTGTAATCTCAGTAGACTGAAAATTCTACCCAGTTCCACTGGGGCCCAAGATCTTCCCTGGTCAAAAATTGCTCTTTAGGTAGTTTGCAAGAATATTTGCAAACTTTAGACAATAGTACTTAAACAAACAAACGAACACTACATAACTCTTTCAGAAGTCTAGAGAGCATCTTAGGATCTTTTTGCTGTCTGGTACTGTTGCTAATTAATGACCATTTCCATCCATACTGGATAACAATGATTGCCTTAACTTGTCCTTTTTATAAAATAATCCACCTACAGGATTTGATGGGTTCTTGTTAGTAGAAAAGAAGGGGCTATAAAATACATTTCCTCTGCAGGTTGGATTAAAAACATGTGAAAGTGTGAACATACGGCTGGCATGGACGTTGAATTAAATGTTATTACTTGGGTACCAAGGACAGGAACACCAGGGAAGTCCTTACTGGAGACTTGGAGCAAACCTCTTTCTTTCTGGAACACAGGTCAAAGTCCTTCCTTGGTGCTGTAACAGTTTGGATCAAGGAGGATTCACTTCTTAGGCTACCTAATATAGTGAGCACCTGAGTGGCCCTGAACCAGATGCTAAGGCTACAGACTTGAATTAAACATCCTCTTGCCTTCTGGGGATGCCCAGCTTGGGCAGGCCAACTCCAGAAAGAGTTAGAGAGGATGCATGATTCTACTTCTGATAGAGGAATTTGTCCACGGGGACCTCCTTCAAAATTCAGTCCATCTGGAAGAGTCAGTGACAGTTCCAGAGAGCAAGCTCGGGTGGACCTGCAAAAATGAGTTCAGATTGGGCTGGCGATGGGCCCTGGAGGAGGACAGAAGGATGTCATCAGAAGACTAGGGGAGTACCAGCACCCTGAGTCTTTTAAATGGTTCAGTTTGCCAGATCTTAGAGGGGAAGAGAGTGTTAGGGGTCAGAGGAAGTGATAGGAGTGGAGGGGCAGGGCTTGAGAAGGTTGGATTTGCCATAGTAGCTATCATTATAAATAAGTAAGAGGATGCATGAAAGCTTTCATATAAAGCCTGGGGTGTGCTAAGGATTTGATGAAACTTCGACTACTACTACCAGTAGGACTCACATAATCCTCTAACTGAAGTATACTATGAATTTGCAGAAGACAGCCATGTGCTTTGACTAACTGAACTAATTCTTCTCAAATCATGTTCTTCCATCTCATCTGGTTACATTCTCATCCTCAGGATCTCAGATCTATTGCTACTTCCTTGATGGAGCCTTCCCAAAAGTCTCTGAATAAGACTAGTCCTTTCCATAAATATTATATAAATATTATATGTATTATATATAATCATATCATATCAAATATCATATGTATTATATATTAATATATTATATATAATATGTGTAATTATGTTA